GAAAACCATGAACTCACTGAGCTTTATAAGCTGACTATAGTATGCATCTCAGGCCTAGGTAGTTCGAGGACGGACAAAGGCAAGGGAAATGCTTAGAGTGTTGCCTATTATTATCTCATTTTAGTCTTTTGTCTAAGATGCGCTGTAATGATCTTTTGTAACTTAACCCCAAGTGAAGGTGGGTTTGAACTTAAGTTAAAACTTTGATGATTCAAAGACTTCCACTGTAATAGTTTAAATGGTCTTAATTTAGCCATTACTTTGGTGTATTTATTAAGGAAATGATTCAGATTATGTAACATCTCTCTTGATGAAAATGAGGGTGTTACAAGTTGGTATCAGAGCTTTAGTTTAAGGTAATTAGGCTAAAACTTGCTTAACTTAAGCTTAAACTGAGAAGATTGTTAGACTTTTAGTTTAAGGTAAATAGGTTGAGATTTACTTAGCCTAAGCTTAAACTGAAAGGATTATTAGAAGCACGTGTTCATTTTGTATTGACGTTGCTTAGCATGCGATTAAGTTTTATCCTACGTCACTACTCGACTTAGTATTCCTTTTTGATTTTAGGAGACATGGTTCGCACCATTCACACCAGGGCTATCAAACGCAGACGCGGACGCGGACACGGAACCCATAGGACGCCTTATGGGCTAGGACCGAATAGAGGGTCGTTTGACAGTCACCGCCCCAGTGCCGGACAGGTTCCCGGTGCCCGATCCAGAAGCGATAGTCCGGCCCACACTGGTGAAGTATCATCACGCGAGCCCATCAAGCAAGGGACCACGCCCGAACCTTCAGTGGACTACACGCCCCGCACCCCGACACGTGAGGACATGATGGAGACTATAGAGACCCTGGAGGGCGAGAACACAAGACTAAAGGAGAGGTTGACCCGAACTTTAGGTGACAATACTAGACTAAATGAATGGCTGAGAAATCTTCAGCGGGCACATGTCGATCAAGGAGAAGCCCTAATCAAACTAATTGAAGAGAATGCAGATTTGTCGGACCAGTGTCATGCCCTGATTTGGGATAAGGTTGTACTCGAGCAAGAACAAAGAATTGCTGCTCGCCCCGTAGGCACCAGAATCAGGGACAGGGTTCGCTTCTATAAGAGAGCGACCATAGACTATGCTGGCGTAGTAAAGGGCTATCTCTCCAACTGGGTTCGATGCATCAGAAGTGGCCCAAGGGCTAGTGTATTGTGGCACTCCATACTATCTACATCCTATGAGCAGTGGTTGAGGGACCCTTATCTCCCTTACTATCCAGGAAATCAGTTTTAGACTTGGGAACAGGGATGAGAGAAGAATCTTTGAGTAGGTGAATTTATTTGTATGTGTCTAAATAGTTTTCATCTAGCGAGTGCGTCGATAGATTTTTGGAACTTTCACCTGTCTTTAGGACTTTGAAGCATCCCATCTTTTGTAAGTAAATGGGATTTTGTAATGTCTCTCTCCCCATGAATTTATTAGAACGAAATATATATATATATATATATATCTTTCTTTTGGAGCATTATGCAATCACGACGTGAATTCCTTATCATGTATTCCGCTGATATATATAGTGATTTTACTATATATGTTATGTATACGTATAATGTATATACATAAATGTAATATGTTAAGACGACACTAGAGCCTTGTTGAAACAATAATACTCTATTGTGTCAGTATAGTTTCTCGTGGATCAACAAGGAACGCCCGCAATGGGGGAGGTATCAATGGCGTAGCCCAACCGACAGTTTGGGGACGGACACGAACCCAAAGTCGAGGTCGCAGAAGTGTCCGAACCGCTAGTTCGAGTACGACCCCATCATCGCCAGCTAGTCTGGCTATCGGTAGGAGCCAAGGGGGCCAAGGAGAAGAAATTCCTCTCACAAAGAAAGTGATGGCTGAACAAATGGCACAAGTCCTCCGGAATACGTTGCCAAATATGCTTAAAGAAATGTTGGGTGATAGACTTAAGGATAATGAAGGTGGGGAGGAAGGAAGCATTCGACACGAGAACACTTAAGTCCCGGAAAGGGTGGAAGTGTCTGATAAAGAGAAGGTGGAGTCGCTCATCGAGAGAACTGAGTTGACTGCAAAGGAGAGGGGATGCAGTTTTAAAACATTCAAAGGCACCGGGCCAAAGGAATTTAAAGGAAT